TGATGGCGGTGCATCTCAGCGAACTCACGCAAGAGCTTGGGGCAGTACCTGGGGGTCAGCTGTGCCGACAGAACGGACACGACAGAGCTTGCGGACGAGACGGCCAAGGCGGCTGGAGGACCGCCCCTCTCAAAGAATATCCTTCAAAGTTGCGCAAGGCAATGGCAACGGCCTTCGCAGCCCACTGGGGGCAGCTCGCTGACGAAGGGGCACTGTGGGCCGAAACAGATGAGTGCTACCACAGCTTTTATGCGCCCCTGGACCATTACATTGAGCCAGAACAGCTAGGCCACGACTGTCACAAGACATGAGGTAATCACCGGCGCTAGCAGCTGACACAGCAGCGCGCGGTACTACGACGGCCTGCGCAAATATTTGGGATAAATTGTTGTTCGCAATATTACAGATTTGCAGCGCGCCCATTGGACTGATTACCAGATTACAGATTGGATGACAGATTGGCAGTATTACAGATTGGGTTACAGATTGCATTACAGATTGGATTACAGATAGGCAATATCACAAATTTGCAGCAGGCGATCGAGGGCCTGCGTACCTACTTTATGGACTCAATACTTGGAGTGACCTGCGCGAATATATGACTATGCACGCATGACTTTGTCATGGACTGCGATGGCGTGCCATTCTCGAGGGGGGGGCCGTGGCGCCCATACGGGTGGGCACGATCCCTCAAAGGCGACGGAGCGTGCCCCCCCTCGAGTATGCTTATGCGTATTCTTATTGGCTTTATCTTTCAACTCTGGCATTTGTTTTCTATGCGTATCTATCTTCCCGGGTAAAGGCAGCAAAGCGCCCAGGCACCACTGTAATTGTTTTGTTATCTCTGGGTATCTCTTGGCAGTTGGGCAGCAAGACTGACTGGAGTACCTCGGGCTCGCGCACCACCAATGCAAGCAGGTCAGGCAGTATCACAGCGATCAGCACGTGGGAGCCGAGTACCACATGCCAGCGCAGCGTTGAGACAAGCACCACCATGGCGATCAGCACGACTGTGCCGAGCACCTCAGGTGGGGGTGCTACCGAGTCAAATACGGCCACGTGTTTCTTGCTACACTATATCGAACACCACAGGCATGGGCACGGTCACGGTGGATACTACAGTGCACTTCGCGGCGAAGAGCGGCCTCGGCGACAAGCACTACGGCGTCAGGACTCAAGTCCTGAGGAAGCCCCGAATGCGTGGGAAGACCTCAGGCAGCGTCGCCAAGTTTTGCATGGGTTAGGACGCAAGTCCTGGGGAAGCCCCGAATGCGAGGGAACACCCCAGGCACAAGTCGCTACGTTTTGCTGTAGGTATCTTGGCGGTGACTGGCCGTATACAGCTCGGAGGTCACCAGCTGGCTGGAAGTGGGCGACTCGCACGACCTCGCTGCACTACTGAATGACATCGACCACATCCCCAGTACGGCCCTTCACACTTCTTGACAAGTCAACGCTGCCCTGGTGAGGCATGGATCAAACTTCGAGACGGGCTCGAAGGGTGGGGGGGGGGGAAGGAAGAGTACTACCCGCGCCCACCAGGGGGGATGGTGAGGGGCAGGGGGGGGTAGGACGGCCACTACCCGCGCCCCCGCGGTCCGCCCTAGCTCGCCACCCCCACCATCTCCATGGCGGAGGAGGAGCTACCCGAGCGCCCGAGGGCGAAGCATAGGACAGCCGAGACATCCCACTCCGACAAATATATGCACCAGGCCTGGGGTTCGCCCCCACCGAGGGCACCGTGACCCCTAGCCATAGCGGGACGAGGTGGGACAGCCACGACCCCCACTTGAAGTCGGCGCATGGAGGCCATGGGCGCCCACGACCATCAACACAACACCAGCAACAAGCCGACCTCCCAACGACCCTAACCAGCACGCTCGACAAGCTACACTCAGCCAACAAACAAACGATCTCCACACCATAACCATCCCCGACATAAGCGCCTACCTGCACGCCAGCGTCGGGTGCTACATGATTGAGGACAACTGATATACCACGTTGGGTCGAGTACCACAGGCTTGACAGCACAGTGTCACGCTCTACTACGACGACCAGCATGATTGGGCAACGCAGAGGCAATAAGTATCACCTCGACCAGCACGACTGGGACGAGTGCCACACGTTCGTACTACAGAGTCAAGCAGTACCACAGGTTCGAGAACATCAGAGTCTACCAGAAGAGAAGGGGCAGCCTGCCCCTCGGCGTGGGATACACAGCGCAGGGCGCCGAAGGGTGTATCCCCGTCGCCCTCGCGTGGCATGCGAGGGGCCGAGGCCAGCCGGCCACAGTCGGCATGAGGAGGAAAGAGCAGCCGCCAGTGCTGGCCTGCTGGAGCCCACGAGCGGCTCGGCGAGCCTCCACAGCGCGCGGCGCCGAAGGGTCAGCCAGCCCCGCGAAGCCGCCCCCACGGCGGCTGGGCTCAGCGCTCTGCGCCGAAGGGAGCCCAGCCGCCGCCGTGCGGCCGCCGGCCCACGAAGAGGCCGACGGCCTGGCTGAGCGCCGTGCCGCGCTGCCTGACGCCCGCGGGCGTGGGCGCGCGCGGCGCCCGCCCATGGGCCCTGTCGGGCCCCCCTTTTTTAGAAACCCGGCCCCCTCTTCCCTCCTCTGAGGTTTTAACTGGTCCCTGGTCCTCTCTGCTCTCCTCGGGGTCGGGTTCCCGGGGCCGCTGTTCGAGTGCCCGCACGGCCCTTGTGGGCCGCTGCGGCGCGCTCCGCGCCCGCGGGGCGCGCGACAAGACGCTGTGTAGCGAGAAACGTCAGAAACGTCAGGGCCCTCTGAGCCGCCCCGCCGCCTCCTCAGGAGGCCACCCCCCTCGCGCCACTCTCTTCGGGAGCGGCCAAGAGGGGGGTGTCCAAAAGGGGGGGTGAAAATCATGACCGGCGGCATGTGCGCGGCCCAGCGGGGGGCCAGGAACGTAATGAAATAAGAAGAGGCGCCATGAAATCTGGGAAATACCATTGCCCCCACCATGATATCCATACCCCCCTAGACATCACCCCCCTCTTTGCCGCCCCCGATCTCTGGATCAGAGGAAGAACAACAAACAACACACAAACAGAAACTGTCGACGCTCCGCGCGGATGTCTTGAGTCTGCGCTGGGTGCCCCCCCGGGGCGGCGCCTCGAGCGCCGCCCCTGGCGCGTCAAGAAATCCGCGCGGAGCGTCGGAAATTTATTCGGGTCGGGCGAAAGGGGGGGATAGCAAAGAGGGGGGGTGAGAATCAGCTCACGCAGCTGATTCTCCCGGCGCCTCCCGCCGCCGGAGGCGGCCACGTACCGAGGAATGGGCCCCTTCGGTGAGGCCGAAACCAGCTGCATGCAGCAAATTTCGTAACCCCCCCTTTCCCAATCCCCCCCTTTCGTCCGGCCCGATTGATGGCGCCGCCAAGCCGCCAAGTCCTTCCCCCCTCGTGGGGCAGCACGCGCCCCTGAATCGCTCGGCAGTGGGGGCCGCAGCCTGGCCAGCAGGGTCCACAGCTCGCGGGGCTGCCCGACTGCCGGCCGGATCCCCGGCGACCCAGGGGCCAGGCAGGAGGAGGGGGAGGAGCCTGAGGAGAGGGAGGAGGATGCAGCCATCGTTTTTTTTTGTTTTGTTTCCCCCCCCCGCTCGCTTGCCAGGGCACGCCAGATCAGGAACGGGGGTACTTGTCTGGCCACGGCGAGCCTCGGCCATGAAGCGGCCCGAAAACCAAAGGCTCTCCTGATCTGCCAACGTGGTCCTCATTCCAGCGTCTTGGCTGTAAAGGAAGAGAGGTAATTATACATGCCTCTGGGCCCGGGATAGGCCTGGCCAGGATCGGTGAATGCGCAAACTTGTCGTCGCCCTATGGGAGGAGGTGAGGAGGAGAAGAGGTGGTACAAGGTAAAAGGCGCAGGGCGCCAGTGGGCGGTGTCCAACAGGAGCGGGAGAAGGGTAGGTGGAGGAAGAGGGGAAGGTACACAAGGGGAGGAGTGAGCGTAGCACGGGAGGAGGAGGAGGAGGAGGAGGAGGAGGAGGAGGAGGAGGAGGAGGAGGAGGAGGAGGAGGAGGAGGAGGAGGAGGAGGAGGAGGAGGAGGAGGAGGAGGGGGGGGTCCCAGGCATTTGGCGTCTCGATCTTTCGAGGCACGGGCTCCCGACCTCTCGACCACTCCCCCGGAACCAATCCCTCATCCCGAGCCGTCTTTTGACAGCCCGGAGGGTCGGCAGAAGGGCCGCGACAGGCCGGAAACGATGAACATCCTCCGTCTCGAATTTTCCGAGATGCTGCATGCCTGAACCTTATCATCAAGTCGCGACCGACGAGATCGGTCGCTACCGATTTTGCTTCAAATTCCAGGACCGGTCGCGACCGACGTGCTTCAAAACCGTTCGCAACCGATGGGTCGCGACCGACCTGTCGGGATCGGTCGCGGGAGGCTGTAACCGACTTTGGAAGGTCGCGATCCGTCGCGATCGACTTGGAATTCCGATCGGTCGCCAAAGATCGCGACCGAAACGAAAACAGTATCCAAGGACCTGGGGGTGATGTCTATACCTGCCAAGCCAACCCAACCCAACCCGAAGACCCAAACTTCGGATGGGAGGCACGGGGTCCACATGTGCTTTTCCACTGTTCCCCGACGGGGGGGGCCAAAAAACGCACGGAAGAGGCCAGTCCACCAGAGCCCCTCCACAAGAAACCCGGCCCTGGGACCCCAGGCCGTCCATTGCCTTTTTGTTTGGGAACGTCGCGCTTCCCCTGGCAGATCCATCGGAACCCAAGGAAACCAAGGCACCCTGTAGGCAAGCAGAGTGTTTCTTGGCATGGGTCTCCACTCACTCTATCCGAACTAGCAGTGGGGGCCATAACATCCAGGGAGATAATCACAGACCCAGCCGTGATGTACGTACACTGCCCACTGATGGACATTCCCTTCTTATTTCGACACCCCCGACATTCTCCCCTCCCCAAGATCTCTTTCCGTGACGCTGTCGATCTGGAATCGGCGCGCGCCGAACCGCGTCTGGAGCCCCGACCGGATAGGCCGGGTGGTTGTACAGGCACCGTAAAAGCCCGCTGACGGGGTCGTCGCCTCGGGCTCGTCGGGGGGGCCGCGGGGCCGGGGAGGGACGACGACGAGGACGGGCGCCGAGATACTGCGGTCAGGGGAGGCAAGGAGGAAGGAGGACGAGGAGGGTGGAGGAGGGAGGGGCGAGGGGGGAGGGGGAGGAGGAGGAGGAGGAGGAGGAGGAGGAGGAGGAGGAGGAGGAGGAGGAGGAGGAGGAGGAGGACGAGGAGGAGGAGGAGAAGGAGGAGGAGGAGGAGGAGGAGGAGGAGAGGAGGATGGAGGCGGACCAGTGTAAACCCAAGAGTCATCAACGATGTTGGAATAAACACTCGCTCCAAGCTCCCTCTTCCTAGGCCCCTGCAACGGTTCATTCCCACTGAGGGAACTTCCTCGTTGGAAGACAACGGTTTGAAGACCCTAGAGCATGCCACAACGTTGTTCTCGGGATTATAACGCCACGGGTCAACCTGACGGTTGCGTATTGACGATCCTGAACCGTGCCAGAAAGCCATTCCTGGGACTACAACACAGCAAATCAACGAAAATCTTGCACCATCATAATCCTGAATCCCTCTAAGACACGTTCTTGTACGCTGATCGTGGGAGCCCGTGAAAATCTTGCAAATGTTAAAAACAAATTTGCGCGGCGCTAAGGCGAGAGCCCTATTTTGTAAAATAACCACCCTCAATCCGTGAAACTCTTGCAAATCTGTAATGCGTATGTACGCGGCGCTAAAACGAGAGCCACTAAACGGGTGGCCCTCAATCCGTGTAACTCTTGCAACATTTGAAAACGAACGTGCGCGGCGCTAAGGCGAGAGCTACATTTTGAAAACGACACGCCCTCAATGTGTCGTAGAAGCTTCAGGGCCAGAAATGGTGAGGAAGCCTCAGGCGAAACACCCGGCCCGCCCTAAAAACTGGCCTCGGGGTGCGACAGGGAGAAATTATTTATAAGGAGAAAGAGATGGAGGAGGAGGAGGAGGAGGAGGAGGAGGAGGCTGACGCTACGAGCCTGCGCTCAGCGGCATGCTAAGACGAAACCAGGGCGAAGATAACATCGGGTGATGATGAATCGAGAATCTCTGGGATCCGGCGGCTCTGGCGAATGTCTCGGGCGCCGCAGCCTTTCCAAAGCGTTCCGGGGAACGCGCCGAGAGAGCGATCCCGCCACGCTCCGGAACGGACTCGCATCCCCGCCCTGGCCCCGTCCGACGTGCCCCAGAAGGAGGCAGCAGGGGGGGGCAGCCAGCAGGAGGCAGGAGGCAGGGGTGCGAAAGGGGGGGGGCAGCGAGCGCTGGGCGCAGGCTCGCAAGCGGCGCCGCCCCGCGGGCCGGACTGGCGGGTGGACAGCGGCGGAGGGGCGGGAGGCCGACGCCGCCCCGCGTGCGCGCGCCGCGGGCCGCGCCCTGCCGGCGTTGGGCCTCGGACCTGGCGGCTGCAGCCGGGCACGGTGGCGCGTGCTCCCGCTGCGGGTCTCCACGGTTTTGTTTTCGTGCTCCCGCATGCGCTGTTTTTTTTTGTTTTTGTTTTCAGCGTCTGTCGGGACGAGCCATGGGCTTCGCCCCAGCATGCGAGTTGCCTCGTGATAGGGCGGGGCTGGTGCATGCGCTGTGCGCTTGCAGTGCCGAGGTGCGGTGTGGCGACGGCACAGAGCAGGACGTGCGCGAAGTGAAGGCCACCAGGCGCCAAGATCCCCCCTGTGCTCGTCCACCGTCGAGGAAAGTGGGGCCAAAGCGTAGAGTACCATGGCAGGCTGCCGCATCCAGTCTGGACGCGGCAAAGTACACTCAACATGCCCACCATCCTGCCCCCCCCCCTCTTGCGCTTCCAAACGAGACATGGATTGCTGAGATAGGCATACGGCGTGAATGAGCAGGCCCTGGCCGTACAGCTGCCTTGGGATATACGGCGTTCAAACCCTGGCAGGGACTGGTTGATAGCAAAGTCTTCGGGCCCACCCGCCTGCCCCCCTCCCGACACAAAAGCAAGGATTCATATATATATATATATATATATGGCAAGTTCCTGAAACCCTGAACCGAAACCTTGCCACCTCTTGAAGGCGCATCTCATAATTCTGCCAACTTCCGCCAGCCTTCCGCCAGCTTCCGCTGGCGGAGGCGGCCTCCTTTCACTTCGAGGAGGAGGAGGAGGAGGAGGAGGCCGAGGAAGAGATGGCAGCTCCTCCGATCCTCGCAGGCGAGAGGCCCTCTCTGGAGCCCCTCGTGTGGCTGGAGCCCGGTCCACGAGACTGTCTGCCGCGTGGGCTTCACACGTGTCGAGCTACACCAATGTTGACTGAGCAGCTGGCGCGATTCGGTACAGTCGGGGCGTTGACCTAAGGAACCCTAAATAAGGAACGAGGCCCCTTTTTTTCCAGAAATTAACCTTTGATTTCCTGTCAAGAACATAAGGAAAGCCCGAGGCAAGCTGCGAAACACTTACGGAACGCGGAGCCCCTCCCCAACGAAAAGGGTTCCTTCTTCAGGGCCCCGACTGGAAGAGCCGGGGGACATATCAAAGCAGCATACTCAAGCAACAGAATCACCAACGCTCGAAGGCCCAGGCGGACCTCCTGGGCTCGCGCTGGCCCCCCCATCCGTGGCTCGCGGAGCACGGCGCCGAAGGAGCCGCCTGGGGGGGGGGCAGCGCAGGTTCAAGAACTCCACAGGTAACTCCGAAAACTTCTGTTTGAGTGATCCTTCTCTCTTGAGGGGGAACGTTCAGGGGGACCGGCCCAAGGGGGGGAGCACCGACCTGGAATCGGCGATGCGTCGCCGATGGAGAGGCGAGTGGCCTCAGATAGCCAACCCGCGCGATCCTGAGCGTGGTGGGCTGCCGGGCCCACATCGGCGTTGAGTAAGCGATTGGGGGTCCATGCATCCCCCCCTGAGCCTACCCCTGTTGGTCTTCGGGCCATGACTCGGGCCTCCAGCAGCCGTTCGGGACGATTTGGACACCCCTGGAAAGCCCTCGGCGAGGCGCAGCCGCTGGAAGGCACCCCGAGGCTGGAGAGCCGCCGAAACATGACGAACACGTCCGAAAATAGCAGAAACCTCGATTCCGAACAAATCGCCGCACCCTGAGCCCGAGTATCCCCCATTACGTCGTTCTTTCTTCCTCGGTGGATCCCCCATCACTGACGCCGCCCTGGCAGGCGGACATCGCCGCAGCCCCCCACACGGAGGACGGGCGCGCCCTCAGTCTCCGCGCCCACCTCGATCGCGTTGCATGCCAGCCCGATCTCCTGAGCGGCTCCTCCTCCTCGTCCTCCTCCTCCTCCTCCCCCTCCTCCTCCTCCTCCTCCTCCTCCTCCTCCTCCTCCTCCTGCACCTTCCCCTCCTCCTCCCCTTCCGCTGAAGGGGAGCGTGAGGGGGGGACCGTCTCAGGAAGGGAACGTCAGGGCTGGGATCGACGATGCATCGCCGATAGATCGGCGATGGGCCCCCGACGGCAAGTATGCACGGTCCTGGTCGGGGTGAGCTGTCGGGCCCAGATCGGCGATCGATGGGCGATTGGGAGTCGCTGTATCCCCGCTTGAGCCTATCCCACCTTGCCGTTGCCCCTGGGTGCAGGGACAGCAAAACACTATGAGCATGTGAATTTTCAGAGTTCCGCGCGTATTTCTTGGATCGGCCCCTGGACCCCCAGGCGTTGCCTCCAACGTGGGTTCCGCAAGGGCCTCCGACAGTCTTGTGCTTACGCAGGCTGAAATGAGTCGATGGCGGCATGCGGCATGCTTTAAGCGACGCGCGTGAAGGGAAACTCAACGACCGACTGGAGGGATGACCACCCCGATCCCGACATGGCGGGACTGTGGCTGGCGAAATGTATTCAGGGCCCAGCTCGGGGATGTACGAGTAGGGGCCGCTGGAGGGGCGCGTGCGGATAAATAACCCCCTCTGACTGTGTCTCCGGGTTCCGCTCGCTTCGTCATGGCAGTCTCTTTTCTCAAGGAACTCGGGTATTCGGGGCGGGTAATCGCCCGTCAGTGACTGTTAGATGAACACCCAGCCCCTGGTTCTGCCATCAGGTCTGTCGGCCATTTCGGCGTGGACTCATGTGCGAACCGCCTCTCTCGAGAATCCAATGCGTTCTCGGTGTCTCCTCGTCCTCCTCCTCCACCTCTTACTCCTCCTCCTCCTCCTCCTCCTCCTCCTCCTCCTCCACCTCCTCCTCCTCCTCCTCTTCCTCCTCTTTCTCATCAGTCTCCTCAGTCTCCTCAGTCTCCTCCTCCTCCTCCTCCTCCTCTCCTCCTCCTCCTCCTCCTCCTCCTCGTCCTCCTCCTCGTCCTCCTCCTCCTCGTCGTCCTCCTCGTCCTCCTCCTCTTTCTCCTCCTCCTCCTCCTCGCTCCCTCCTCCTCCTCGTCCTCCTCCTCCTCCTTCTTCTCCTTCCCCTCCCATGGGCGTTTCAGAGGGGGGCTCGCAGGTCTCATGGCCCGAGGCACGTGCGCGGCCACTGGGGAGGGGTGGCGGGGGGCAAGGGACGCATTGAAACAAGAAGAGGCGCCATGGCATCTGGGGATCCTCCTCCTCCTCCTCCCCTCCTCCTCCTCCTCGCTCCTCTCCTCCTTCTCCTCTCCTCCTCCTCCTCCTCCTCCTCCTCCACCTCCCCCTCCTCCTCTCCCCCTCTCCCCCCCTCCTCTCCTCCCCCTCCTTCCTCATCCTCCTCCTCCTCTCTCCTCTTCCTCCTCTCCTCCTGCTCCTTCCCTTCCCCCCCCCCTCCTGCTCCCTCATCCGCCTCCTCCACCCTTCCTCTTCCCCTCCCACTCCTCCTCCTCCGCCGCCTCCTACCTCCCCACGCTTGTTTTCATTTTCTTCGTCTTCAGGGTCGGCGGCACTGGCCGTAAGGCCCTCGCAATAAGAAGAGGCGCCATGACATCTCGGGACCCATATTCTCGACTTCATGTTTTTCTCGTAACGTCGCCCCCCCAAGGTCTCGACCCATTCCCCAGGACCAATTTCTCATCCTGAATCCGTGTTTGACGGCCCCGAGGCCCGGTGAGGGCCCCCAGAGGCCGAACATAGCGAACAACCTCCCGCCGTGATCTGCTCACAACGCGATGGGGGTCTGGGGAGGCATCTTGGCCTTGGCCCTGGTCGTGACATCCCACCCCCCCTAGTCATCACCCCGCCCTTGGCCGCGCACGCAGGGCCCCGACGCGCCCCGCATCTCGCTCCGAGAAAGCCCCTCGGCCCCCCCCGAGACCCGCGAAAACCCTGCACGAAGCTCCAAGAGGCCCCCCTTCTAGGCTTCAGTCGGGCGTGTCCCCCTACAGAGGGATTCTCGACGACAAAGAAAAATACATCAAAACTACTCCAAAAAGGTCAAACAAATAATCAAACAATAGTCCCCCGACTATGTTTTATAACTATTTTGGGATATTCCTCTTGTAGAAGGACAGGCCCGACTTAATTCTAGGCCCCCATGAAGCGCCCAAGAGGGCACCAGAAAGCCTCCAAAAGGCGCCCAAGAGGCTCTCGGGAGCAACCCACCACAACCGCCAGTTCCCCAAGGGGTCGGCGGCGTGGCGTAAGCCCAAAATGCACGTCCGGAGGTGACGTGCTGAGCGGCAGCGTTTTCCGGCGAACGCCTTAATGCAACGTATCCAATGTATCCAACGATTGCATAATTGCCACATCATTATTATGTCTCCCCCCCTAACCCCCCCTGGGAGCCGCGCCACAGGAACGGACCAAAATGATCGGCCCTCCTTCTGGGGCCCCAAACCTGCAAAAAAAGTACCCCGCGAAGCGAGAGGAATCATCATCCTCCTCTTGGCCGTTGCCCCTGGTCTGCCTGCCCTCCCCCCAGGCGCGCCGCCGCAAGAGAAGGGCGGCGAGGTGGCGGCGCGCGCGCCGTGAGCGGGTCTTGGCAGTTCCACACGTACTCCTCGGCGCCGGCGGCCGCGCATCGGATGCTGCTGGAAGCGCCCCTGGCCGCCAAGGCGCCCCCAGGATTTCCAGGGAGGCCACCACGGCCTCCAGGGAGCCCCTCACGAGGCCCACAGGGCCCCAGGGGCTCCAACATGGAGCGAGAAGCCGGGGGCGTCTTCGGCCATTAGCAACCCCCGAGCGGAGGCGCGGGCGTGCAGCAGCTGGCCTCCTCCGCCCCATCCCCTCCTTCAACCTCGTGTTCTCCTCCCATCCCCCCCCTTCCCCCGTCCATCTTCGCCCCTCCCTCGTCTCTACAATTGCTCCATCTGAATACTACTTTCCTCTCTCCCCTGAAGTTGTCCGGGGCGTGGCAACGGCCTTAGGATCCAATGGAATCCTAAGGATTCCTAGGGATTCCTAAGGCACCCTTAGGCATCCTCAGGAATCCACAGGAATCCTTAGGAAACCTTAGGAATCCTTAGGAATCCTGATTCCTAAGGATTCCTGTGGATTCCCAAGGATTCCTAGGGAATCCTAAGGATGCCTAAGGATTCCTGAGGCTGCTTAACTATGCCTACGGATTCCTAAGGATGCCGAATTACGGATTCCCAAGGATTCCTAGGGATTCCTAAGGGTTCCTATGGATTCCTACGGATGCCTCAGCCTGCCTCAGTTTCAGCCTCAGCCTCAGCCTGCCTCGGCTTGCCTCAGCCTCAGCCTTAGCCTGCCTCGGCCTCCGCCTCAGCCTGCCTCAGCCTCAGCCTCAGCCTGCCTCGGCCTCAGCCTGCGTCAGCCTCAGCCTCAGCCTGCCTCAGCCTCAGCCTCAGCCTCAGCCTCAGCCTCAGCCTCAGCCTCAGCCTCAGCCTCAGCCTGCCTCGGCTTGCCTCAGCCTCAGCCTCAACCTGCCTCGGCCTCAGCCTGCCTCGGCCTCAGCCTGCCTCAGCCTCCCCTCCTCCCCCCCCCTCCCCCCCCCCCATTCAGCCTCACCTTGTCTCAGCTTCGGCCTGCCTCGGCCTCATCCTCAGCCTCAGCCTCAGTCTCAGCCTCAGCCTGTCTCGGCCTGAGCCTGCCTCGGCCTCAGCCTCAGCCTGCCTCAGCCTCAGCCTCAGCCTCAGCCTCAGCCTCAGCCTGCCTCAGCCTCAGCCTGCCTCAGCCTCAGCCTCAGCCTGCCTCAGCCTCAGCCTCAGCCTCCTCTCAGCCTCGGCCTCAGCCTCAGCCTCAGCCTCAGCCTGCCTCAGCCTCAGCCTCAGCCTGCCTCAGCCTCAGCCTGCCTTCAGCCTCAGCCTGCCTCAGCCTCAGCCTCAGCCTGCTTCAGCCTCAGCCTCAGCCTCAGCCTCGGCCTCAGCCTCAGCCTGCCTCAGCCTCAGCCTGCCTCAGCCTCAGCCTCAGCCTCAGCTCAGCCTCAGCCTCAGCTGCCTTAGCCTCAGCCTCAGCCTGCCTCAGCCTCAGCCTCAGCCTCCTGCCTCAGCCTCAGCCTGCCTCAGCCTCAGCCTCAGCCTGCCTCGGCCTCAGCCTGCGTCAGCCTCAGCCTCAGCCTGCCTCAGCCTCAGCCTGCCTCAGCCTCAGCCTCAGCCTGCTGCGGCGTGCCTCAGCCTCAGCCTCAGCCTGCCTCGGCCTCAGCCTGCCTCGGCCTCAGACTGCCTCGGCCTCAGCCTGCCTCAGCTCGGGCATTCAAAAAATGGCACAGAACTGGCGTTCTGGGAACACGAAGATCACGAAGTGGCCCACAGTTGGCTCCGGGCAATCAACATATGGTACAGGAGTGGTGTTCTGGGAAAACGAAGAACACGAAGTGGCCTACAGCTGGCTCCGGGCATTCAAAATGTGGCCTGGGAATGGTGTTCTAGGAACACGAAGAACACGAAGTGGCCTACCGTTGGCTCCAGGCATTCAAAATGTGGCCTGGGAATGGTGTTCTGGGAAGACGAAGAACACGAAGTGGCCTACAGTTGGCTCCGGGCATTCAAAATGTGGCCTGGGAATGGTGTTCTGGGAACAGAATCTGTAGGAATCCATCGGAAACTATAGGAATCTATAGGAGTCCTGGGGAGTCCCCGGATTCCCCGGATTCCCCCGGCGTCCGCCCAGACCCCCCTGGGGAGTCAAGATGCTCTCTTTTGACCCCACTAGAAACCTATCCGTCTTCGTTGTTAGGTAATAAAATGTCATGATTTGGTCTTTCCGATGGTGCTTTCCGGTTTTCAAAACGGTGCTCTCGCTGTTTGGATCGGCGCATGCTCCCGTCGTGTAGGGTGGCGATCTCGTCCCAGCGTGGGCCACTTTTCCGGATCCAGGCGTCGCAAGTCTCGCAAATCTCACAGGTCCTACGGGTCCGAAAAATTCCGCACGTCTCACATGTCCCACTGGTGTGCCAAGTCTCACAGGTCTCACACAGGTCCGCCAGGTCCCACATGTCCCACAGGTTCCGCGGGTACCACAGGTCTCGCAGGTCCGACAGTTCTCACAGGTCCCACAGGTCGCACAGGCGCCGAAGGTCTCACAGGCCCCACAGGCCACATGAGTCCCCCAGGTCGCACAGGTCCCACAAGTTCCGCAGGTCTGACAGGTCCTGCAGGTCCTACAGGTCCTACAGGTCCTACAGTTGCCACCTGCCCCACAGGTCCCATAGGCCGCAGAAGTCCCACAGGTTCCACAGGTCTCACAGAGTACAAGTCCCACGGATCCCACCTGCCCCACGGGTCCCAAAGGTCAAGCTATGACACGCGCCCGCGTTCTGGACGAGCACGTTCCGAACATATTGCCGACACTGCCCACGATTGCCTCACGATTGCTGGACGATAACGAGCTCATCATAGGATTGGCCCAGGATGCGTTTCAGGATCTCCGGAGTATCTAGCGGCCCTCGTTTCTGCAGCCCGTGTAGAATATTCAAGAATTCCTGAAGCCCTGGAGCATATCAAGACCTCTTGCTCCTCTGAGATTGCAAAGATGAGCACGACGTCGTCGCTGGGCCCCCCTCCATGGCGCGCGGAGCGCACCAGGAGTGGCGCGTTTGGCGCCGCCAGGGGGGCGCCGGCCCTGAGCCAAGAAGTCCGTGAAGACCTCTGGAAGTTTACGTGCGTGAAGGTGCTTCTTCTTCGGTTCGCGATTGCAGCGTCGAGCGCGGCTTCGTGGGAACTGGAGGCTCTCTGTCAGAGCTTCCTCTCTGGCCACCTACCAAGCCACCCCCTCACCCCAACCCGAAGCCGACGTTGGACCTGTCAACACCATTGGACCCGCCCGCACACACGCACACACACACACACAAACACCAAGCCGAAATTGGAGATGTGTAAGTCGAGGAACAAGCAACGGCATCTTCCCTGCAGGTCGGGGCGGATTTCTTGGAGCGGCGCTGACCCCCTCCCTGGCGCGCAGAGCGCGCCAGGGGCGGCGCCTGTGGCGCCGCCAGCGGGGCCCGACTCCAAGAACGGAGCGAAAGCGAGGCGCGCGCCGAGCCGCGCAACTATCCCTCGACCTGGTCCTCTCGAGCTGGAGCGCTCGCCCAAAGCAGACGTCGATCCCGAGGACTTCCAATGCGACGGTGTACGCGAAGCCTACAGATCCCAGCTTGGCACACCAGCGCCGCCCCAGGGAAAGCACGCCGCTGGTAACCTGCACTTCGTGACGAGCAGGCGGGGGCCCCAGGGGGTCCAGGACGTGGGCCAGCAATGTGAGGACCTCGAGGGCCAGCGCGCAAACCCCCGCGACTGTTCCCAGGGCAGGCAGGGTAATACTGGCAGCTCGCAAGTCAATAACACGCGCAATGCTGGGCGGCAAGGCGGCCGCGGCAAAAGCGCGCCCAGGCAAGACCCCCCTCTGCGTCACAACCTTGCCTGAGTAGCAGCTACCCCACGCAAGCCTCCGCCCCCCCCCCACAGCACCACCGCGCCACCACCGCCGCACGCGCGCAGCGCCAGAACCTCCAGGCACCGGCCGCGCTGCCCAGCAGCACGGAGCAGCTTCAGCCATGACACTTTGCCGAAGCACTTGGGCTCTCTGCTCGGACCGGCACCCTGGCTGCGACGTCGGCGGTGGATCGATTGGTCCCAAGGGCGAGGTAATCCCGATCGAGGGTGAACACCCCCACGCTCGGGGCCAGGATGCCCGAGCCTTCGTCCAGACCTGGCACGGCAGGGCCAGGACGGAGATGCATCGGAAACCCCCGTCGGTTTGCTCAGCAGGGCGATGCGACTGGCCAAGCTCCAAAGACCTCGCGGAAGCGCCAGAGAGACCCGAGAACCGGCGGGGCGGGATTGGATGCGAGGGCCCAGCGACGAGGCCTCTATTGATCGGCTCCAACGGCAGCCCTCGTCGGCATTTGCAGCGCCGCCGGTCGAAGCCCAGAGATGATGCGCGGGGGTAACCCGGGCCCGTCTCGCAGCGGCGCCTCGTGCTGGACGCCAGGCCCCAGTCGCCCCGATGGCCATGCGCGCTGGCGTGTGCCCCCGGAGGTCCAGAGATCGGCCCCGGTCCAAACTTCGACCCGGGAGCCTCGCTGCGCTCCCCGACAGCATCGCCAGACAAGCTGCGGAGCCCACCTGTGACAGGCAGCACCCGCGAGGCTCCGTCCAGCGACGCGCTGGCCCTGGGCGCCCGCGCAACTGCCGCCTGAGCCACGCGACAGATCGAGGCCTGGCCTGCCCCAGGCGGCGCTCGCCCGTCGCTGCCGGTCGACAGAGGCCCCGGCGCGCGCCCGCGGCGCGTCGGGAGCTGCGCGCGTGGACGCCCCAGGAGGTACGCAACGATGTCACGCGCACCTCAGGCGGGGCGCGCGCGCGCATTCGCCCGGCGCGACCACGACCGCCCATGTGAGGTCGCGCAAGTGGCACCAGGCACGCATGATTGCGTGTATACCATGCGCGATCGCAGCGCGCGCGTCACACACTCTCAACTGCGATGCGCGGAGGGCCCGCAAGCGCCGAGTCCCCGGCGGTTGGTATCTCGCAGGGGCCCCACCCGCAGTAGATTGGCAATACGTGGGGCCTTCAGGGCGGCCCGTGTACTTATGACGCA